GTACTTTTAATAGAACGCTACAAAGACAGAAAACCCACTTCCAAGTCTGTATTCCAACTCAAGCTGTAAGTCCAGGAGTTCAGTTTTGCCACTGGGCACAGTCTAGGAACTACAAACTAAGCTACATCTGCCTTGTCCCAGAAATGAGAGGACTCCTCCTCTACTCATTTATGAAGGGAATGGATGTTAAAAATAAAGTATTCAATTTTTACATTCCTGATAGATGGGGAAAGTGTGCTGGACTCCATCCTCTACGGAAATGGCCTGAGATAAAAACACGCATACATTCCCTGATGATGCTGTCTGAAGCAGCAGCTCATTACCCTCTGTCCCCTTGTCCTGCTTAATTACTCTTTGTAGTCACTTTGGTACTGTTGCTCTCCCCCACTAGAATGGCAGGGCTTTTACCCACACTCATGGATGTTTTCAGGGCCAAGAACAGTGCCTGGCATCTAATAGGTATCCAAAAAATATGTGTTCAATCAATGAGGAATATTTCAAGATTATAGGTCCAGTTCTGCCACTGATCAATTCTGTGACTAAGAAGTAGTCATTTAATCTCCTGGGGCAATTGTTTTTTAAAAAGCGTTCAACCAGATAATCCTTTTCAAAGCTTCAATAGTGTGACTTCACGTATATAATTAACAAGACAAAATGTGATGCGGTGAACGGCAGCAGAGTGGGTTACTGTCACACTACCTGCCTTCCCAGCGTCTTTTGAATACCCTTCCTCTGGATAGGGCATTTACTAGCTTATGAGTCCTGCCTCTCCGAGGAGGGAAGTAGAAGCTTCCTCAGCCGGCCTTCCTTTGAGCTAGGGATCAGCCGTATGACTCGGGTTCTACCTGTGAGATGTAACTTCAAGAGGATTTTTCAAAGGTGAGCCACGTGAGGAGACAGGTACCTTGCGGAGTTCACTTCCTAGAGCGGAGGCTGCAGGGGCAGAGCTCCTGCCTTCCAGGGATCCACATCAACCACGCAGCAGAAGAGCCTGGGTGTGCAGCGGCAGCCACGTTGTTTAACACGGCTGAGGATTTGTGCAGCAGGAAATGAAAATGAGAAAACAGCGTTTCACGGAGGAAAAGGCATGACCTTTCGAAGTATCACAGACTGGATCAGAATCCCGCTGCCCACTTACCAGCTGTGCCCTTGAATAAGTTATATGCCCTCTTGAGCCTCAGTTTAACCATTTTTAAAATGGTCACTGTCCGAGGTCACTCACTGGCTCTGAAAACAGGGCTCTCTCCATGCCGAGATTCCCCAGGGACTTCTGCTAGGGTATTCTGCCTCCACATCACTGGACTTTAGCTTTCAGGCTGGAAAGTGGGTAGGAGCTGAACAAACACGCCGGGTACTGGTGTTCCGGGCGGGATGGGGACTGAAAGGGGAACGGCAGGAAAATGAACGTACGTTTTGGAATCCAAGCTAATAACGGTGGCCTTTCATCTACAGGCGGCAGGGAAGCGGGTGAAGGCTGTGGCTCAGAGCTGTGCCTGAAGGTGCTTACAGCTCCAGGCTGCACCGAAGCCGGGCTGGGGGCCCGGCCGGCGAGGCTCAGGGTCCGAGCGAGGCCCTGGGATCCAGGAGGTCGCGGTTCCGCTCGGTCAGGGCACAGGCCGGGGTGCGGCTCCTCCATCCCCAGCAGGGGGCGCGCGGATCCAGGACTCTCATGGATGTTTCTCTCTCCCTCCCTCTCCCAATAAAGATGTAAAAAAAAAACAAGAAACAAGATGGGCTGGAGGGGACCCCGCCCGGCGGCTCAGGGGTTCGAGGGGGTTTGGTTCCGTCAAGGGCAGGGGCCTGGGTTGCAGGTTTGATCCCGGCCCCCAGCTGGGGCCATAGTCAGTGGGTGTGTCTCTCCCATCCGGGTTTCTCCCCCTTCCCCCCTCGGGTGGGGATAAAAGTAAATAAATAATATCCTCAGGTGGGGATAAAAGTAAATAAATAATGCCCTCGGGTGGGGGTAAAAGTAAATAAATAATATCCTCGGGTGGGGGTAAAAGTAAATAAATAATGCCCTCGGGTGGGGGTAAAAGTAAATAAATAATGCCCTCGGGTGGGGGTAAAAGTAAATAAATAAT